CCATAGGAATTGCCTCATCATCTGTAAGCGGATGAGTGATTTAGGGAAACACGGATGTGTGATAATTCTCCGAACAGAAGTGTTGAGTCACTACGGTTTGGCACCGCGTTCCTGCTGTTTTTGGCAAGCGTTTGCGTGATTGGCATTGCTTCACGTTACCAAAAAAAGCTTTTCCAAGCTTGTCATATGCTGCCTTAAAATTGTCTTAGGATGTTCCAACTCACAAGCTGAGAAATTTTAATTAAAATTAGATGTTTATGAGATTTTGGTCAGAATATATTAATGTGGTGGAACATTTCATGTTTGTAGTATAATAAAATAATGACCTTTGAACATGATGTGGTTTCTTATTGTTTGCTTTAAGTCCCTTGTTGAGGAAAAACACAAAGGTTTGCAAAAGTGACGCTTTGACCAAAAGTTGAAAGAATTTTCCATTGACAATTGAGAATTTCAGAGAATTTTTGGAAACTCAATTCACTGTATTCCCAATTGATATCAAACTGACTCGACACCGTTCACACCATAAGAACGTATTTTAGACATTTTCTTTTTCTTGAGCTTTTTTCTAGTGTATCGATTAAGCATTATAAGGTTTGAAACAGTCAGTATACAGTCTATTTTGAGCTTTAATAATGATGCTCGACTCTGCAAGTGCAAGAAATAATGCATGTATACTTTAAATTTCACATGCAGTAGTTATTATAATAATCTGAATATGATAAGATTATATAAATCTGTGTTGTTGCAGGGTCTCATTAGTTCAGATGTCCATTTGCAGAGCGTGTAGGCATGCAAACACCAGATGAGAAGGGAGGATGCGTTCTTTGATCAATGTTTTCTTTTTTTTTTTTAAAGTGTAGGCTACTTCTTTCCAAAACAACATAATTGTTAGCTTCATATCATCTGCTGCGTGTTTGCATAAAGTGAATCTCATGAAACTTGTCAAATGTGTCCATCTCATATTTCACCTCAAAACCTTTAGTAGTATTTGTTGTACTGGTTTAAAAAATAAAAAATAAACTGTAATGCAATGCCTTTTTCTGTATTGCAGAATAAACAATCACCACTGAGAATGAGAAATGCAAGCTGTCCGGTTGTATCTATGAATGAAAAACAATTTTTCCCATTATTTTGAGTTGAAATATGACCCGTATGTGTTTCCATAAGAGTCACTCATCTGTGTGTGAGGTCAAAACAGAGGTGAAAACATCTGATGGTACAATCTGTGTTTTTTTAAAGCCGAACCCTCAGCAATTCTAGAGGCCAACGATAGGGGTATCTTGGAGAACGACCGTTTTTCAGTGGGGAGATTTATCAAAAAGATATGTCTCGTTAGTGTGCTTTGCGTGTGTGGTTCGCAGTAAATCAGGGGCATGTACTGTGGCTACCCTGCAAGGCCCATAACACCCTGAAAGCAGTGTGTGTCTGCTATGAATTAACCAGTCTAAATGTAAGACTCCTCTGAGACTCCCTCCGCTGCTCCGCCGCGCATGTGGGCCGCAAAGCAGCTTTGCACATTTTATGTGTGCGTGAAAAGGTGCTATTTGGACACCACCACCTCTGCTACGGAAAAGTAAATTAGTAAATACATTTAGACCTGTAATTTACATGACCAACAAGCAGTGTTTTATTAATAATTATGTGTGTTTGTACAGCAAACCAGCAGATGTGGCAAGCAAAGCCTGGCTGTTTTGGAACTTAGTGAGCATGAATATAAATATTTAATTTAATGGAATACATAAGTCAACAATGCATTTTATTTACATCTATAAAAACAGTTTTAAGTCACATTTATGAATATTTTTTAAACATCTTTTTTTTTTTTTTTTTTAATTACAGGCTTATGAAAACAAACAGTGGTTTTTTGGCATTGAATCAATATTAAACTTGACATTTCTTTTGCTTTTCTTTTGTATATTTATTAAAAGCAATATATTTTAAATGGCTCTTTTAATGACCAGAAATTTATTTATATATATATGGGGATTTTTTTGCAGCTAGAAAAATACTTCAATATATTTTAGAAACTGTGTTTTTAAAAGTGTCACACAGTAACATAAATTTGAGCACACATTTCATTACTAACATTGTTTTAAAGTACTATAAAACCCTGCTGACAGCATTTCTTTCCCTTTTGGCTCTTTTCCTTTGGTTACTTTTGCTTTTAACATTAATACTTCTATATAGTGAACTATATTTATAATCTGAAGTCCAGTATTGCTAAATATGAAGTACACACCTGATTTTGCATAGTGTAATTTTATCAGAGACAGTGGGTTTGAAAGCACACACTAATTTATGCTTCATTAACACACACTAAATACACTTCCTCTGGGATTGGCAGAGATTTTATAATCAAATGGCTTCAGTGTTAACCCATAAGAGCAGTTTAAACTCAAGTCGAAAACTGGGTCATTCTCGAAAGTTAGTTGGTAGATCAAAATGGCAGTGATCAGGAAAACTTCCACTTTTGCAATCTGATCGCCAATGCATCGTCTCTTCCCGATAGAGAAGATCATCACGCTGTTGGTCAGGTCTTTATCCAGAGCTCCGTTCTCGTCCAGGAATCTCGACGGGTTGAAGATGTGAGGATCCTGCCACTTTTGAGGGTCGTTGTTGATGGACCATTGGTTGATGAACACCACTGTGTCTTTGGGGATGTGGAGACATTCGATGGTGACGTCTGAGGTGGTGGAGTGCGGTATGGTGACGGGGACGAAGCTGGTGTAGCGCATGGTTTCATAGATGAAGGCTTCCAGGTAGGCCAGGTGCTCTTGTCTTCTATTGATGGGAGTCTGTCACGACCTACTCCTTTATCAATCTGCTCTTGGAGTTTGGTTTGGATTGATGGGTACTTGACCAGTAGAAGAAGCATCCAGTGCAAGGCAGTGGAGATGGTATCCAGACCTGCTCCAATGACTTCAGAAACCGTACCTTCAGTATGAGCCTCGGTTAAGCCTGTCTCCGTGTCTGCATGATCTATCACACCAATAAAGGCATCACTCATGTCTCTTGTGACCTCAGGGTCGTAGCTTTGCCTGTGCTCCACCACTTTACCTTTGACAAACGTGAAGAAGTCCTTGTTAAGGTCTTTGAAGTTCTGAAAAACGCTCCTCACAGGATTAGGAAAATATTGCAACCAAGGCATGATGTCCACCAAACTTCCAGCTCCTACCGTTTCGCCAAACTTATCCACTCTTCTCAAGAGAGTCCTGAACTCTAGATCATCATGTCCGTAGCATTTCCCAAAACAAAGAGCGCAGATGATATTAGCAGCCGCAACTGAGTTCATGAGATGGATTGAAGTATTGGTTGTTTGAACTCAATCTCAGAAACGCTTCAATCAGTTCCTCGGCTTCAGCTGCGATGTGCTTCTCAAAGGACTTTTTCGTTTGGCTGTTTGCAGAAGAGAATGCACGAATGGTGGACTGGGCGATCCTCCGGTGCATCTCCCATTGCTTGCTGTAGTTGGTGAACGTCATGCTCGTCCCACCAGAAACCGACTGGAAGGACACAAAGTTCGGTCTGCCAGCAAACTCGGTGCCGTGTCGAAGCGTACGGACGATTCTCCATTGAGAACCACTATGTCACTGCTGCCCAGTCTAATTTGGTACACATTTCCGGTACCTCTTTGCCAACTTGGAGAAGGTGATGTGGGGCATTTGGCCGAGCTGCATGGCATTACCCACAAGCGGCCAAGCGAAGGGCCCTGGAAGCCTCTTTTTGAGAGTGAGGTTCCTGACCCAGAAACAAGCCTCCAGACAGCAGAGGAAGATGAAAGATGCAACGAGGGCTGGCTGGATTTGTCCGCTTCATTCCTTAAGGATGCTACTACCATTAATGCCGAACTCTGTGTCTGAAAGCGCCATGATATTCTGAAGCTCTGAAGGTTTGTTTTTGCATAAATTGCGACTGTATTAGTAACTCCCCATCTTGAATGGTGAGTAAAGGAAGAATTTGATAGCTCTGTTGTTTTCTGCCCTCTTCGCTCTCCACCCATCACGGCCGCAGTGTAGACGCCTGGACACACATTGGGCTCCCAACACGTTCTTGAGCCATCTACATATGCATAATGCTTCAGACAACTACATATCAGTATGCATTAGATAGCAAAATACCAAAGCAAGTGTCATTTATTTTAAAGAATTTAGAACATTTTTGCAGTACATTTTAAAAATGTAAATGTGAAATTTGAACTTATAATAGATGCAGTTGTTGAACTTGAAGACAGTCAGCATTGTGTTTGTATGTTGTTAGTGGATCTTAGTTGTTTCTCTGCACCTGTGGTTCCAGGACACCTGTGTGAACTTGAGGAGAACTGACTTCATACATCCACTAAAAATCACCAAAATACCAGCATATTTAAACACACTGAGACTTCAAACGTGATGAAGAAAAGTGAGCATTAGTGAGAAGATCCTGCAGCATTTGAGACATGCAGAGATGCTTGCTTTGATGTGTTATCTAATATGTTCACATACTGTTTTATTGACTTTTTGGAGGTACTCTATTTGTGTGTATGGACACATGACAGTAAGAAAATAACAGTGATTATGCTAAATGGACGTGCGCCTTCGTTTAATGATGGTTTTGTTTTCTATATATATTTTTAAGAGATCATTTGTTTTATTTGTCTTGCCGTAAAGTGCTGAATTGTCTGAAAGCCATAAAACTTGAAATGCTGTCATTTTATTTTTTACAGAATACATTGCCTAACATTATATGAGCTCTGTAGGTCTGCTCTAATTGGTGGGATTTCATTTTGTTTGGAATCCACAATGTGATGCCAACTGAATGCTAGTGAAATCAAGTCACTTGAGGAATTCAGTCTGTAAACTTGTGAAAGTTTTGAAGGTTTTTTTTAATGCTTCAGACAAAGAACAGATACAAACAATGGAGTTAAATATGTACCATGACTGTGTATTTATCATGAGCTGTAGTTAGAATAATGACTGTTATATAAATTTAATAAGATAATTTGACTTGAAAGATGTGGCTTTACAGAAATATATCAGAAACTGAATGCAAACCGAAATATTGGCCATAAAACTAACAATAAGGATATATAGAGACCATATGCATAAGTAAAGACAGATGCAGACCATTCAGATAATAAAACGGTCATTTAAATGCCTGGCTTGGATTGATGTGTGATTGTATGCATGTAATTTCTTATAAAATGTGAATCGTGTTAAGAAAGAGAGTGAGTGCATCTGTAAAACAGCACTTTATTTAGTCCACTTGTAGCTTATTTTCCAATAGTAAAAACAAAACATTTAAAATAATACCTGAATATCAAAAGAAAAAAAAACTGAGCTTGCAAAACATTCAGTGTAAACATTTACCATAATATATGCAATATGATATAGGAGTACATCTTGAGATAGTAGCTCTGATTTATTCTGCTAGTCTTATACATTATTTTGAGGATTTGTGCATGTGATGAACCTTCAAAATGACATAATGAAGAAGCAGAAAGTTCATCCAGCCTGAGGCTTAAGACTTCCATTGAATGAGCTGTTGACACCGTGTCTTGTCCTGCACCGATTAAATCAGTGACCGTAGACTCAACAAAGTCTTTAGTCAGCATGCTCTCTTTCCCATGCTCAATTACACCAATGATTGCATCGCTCATGTCACGGGTGACTTCAGGGTCGTACGTGTCTCTATGCTGCACCACTTTGTCCTTCACATAAGCGAAGAACTCCTCATTAATGAGCTTGAAGTTTTGATAAACGCTTCGGACCGGATTCGGAAACGACTGCAGCCAAGGCATGACGTCCACCAGGCTTCCAGCACCAACTGTTTCGCCAAACTTATCCACTCTTCTCAGGAGGGTCCTGAACTCGGGATCGTCGTGGCCATAGCGTTTCCCAAAGCAAAGCGCGCAGATGACATTGGCGGCGGCGACGGTGAAATCGTGCGAAGGATTGAAGTGTCGTCCGTCGGTGCTGAGCCTTAGAAACTTCTGGACCAGATCCATGGCTTCGCCTACAACGTGCTGTTCGAATGTCTTTTTGGTTTGAGTGTTTGCCAACGAGAATGCTCTCAGAGTCGACTGAGCTACTTTCCGGTGTGCCTTCCACTGTTTGCTGTAACTGCTGAACACCATGCTCCGACCGCCGGAGATCATCTGAAAAGACAGAAAGTTTGGCCTCCCGGCAAATTCGGTGCTGTGTTCAATGAGCGCCTTGCGTATGGCTGCAACTCCGTTCAGAACCACAATGTCGCTTCGCCCGAGTCTGATCTGGTAGACGTTTCCGTACTTCTTTGCCAGCTTGGAGAAGGTGATGTGTGGCATTTGTCCCAGCTGCATGGCGTTGCCCACCAAGGGCCAGGCGAACGGGCCTGGAAGCCTTTTCTTGAACGTGAGATTTCTGACCCAAAGACAGGCCTCAAGGAAGAAGAGGATGATGAAGGATGCTATCAAAGCCAGCTGAACCTGGCCGCTCCATTCCTTCATGATGCTGCTGCTCTCAAACTCAGCTTCAGTCAGAGCCATTCTTCTGATGCACTTTTATTCTTGTGATGAGATTCTGTTTTCTGCTCAAATAATGTTCATGTTCAATGCTATATAGAGAGAAATAAAAGCATCCGTTTAAAAGAATAATCTAATCTGTTCCTCCGTTCTGCATACAAAAATCTATATAAACTCTCTCTCGGTTGCCAGTTCAGTCTGTTTTAATTAATCTGCATGCATTGAGTTTTCTACCCTCTCTAATTTGTCCAGATTAATCTGACAGGGTTTTCTGAGCTGCTTGGATGGATCCATGTCTTTTATATATGTTTGCAGCACAAGGGGCCGGACCCGATGATAGTCTCACTCCTCCCATTGTGGAAGCCGCAGAGACTCCGTTAGAAGATCTGAACGACTGGCTGCAGCCGAACACGGAGATCCAAGGGCGCAACCGGTTCTGTTCACCGGGAAACAACGGGACCTGCGGTGAAAATAGTGCGTAAATCATCTGCTTCGTTTACACGCGCTCTGTGCAGAGTGTTTATGATCATCACTGCGGAGATGCAGATAACAGTGCAAAACTCTTGCGGTTTGTGCCAATCATCATAACTCGGATAGAGTGATGCATTAATCGTTTTATGTTGCTGCAGTTGAACTCTTTATTTGCATCTCTTTATTTGACGCGCAAGTATTTCTAGTCGTTTGCGCACTCCTGTAATCGTTATTTCTGCTCTGGTTTGCACAGGATTACGAAAATGTTATTTTAAGATTGATGCAATCATCGACGGCATCCCAGACTTTTGTCTTGGGGAATGTTTCGTAATAAAAAAACGCTCTGTTTTGCACACCCACTTTACATAAACCCTAAAAATGGAAAAGCATGCATGCATGGAGTTATGCAACACGACTAGACATTAAAAATCCACGTTATCCCTGTAGTGTGTGTGTCGCTTTGTGTATTTAGCCCCGTTGTACAAACGATATAATTTATAATATGAATTATGACTATGAATTTCAGTATGGAATAGCATCATATGTCATAATAAACATGATAATTACTTATGCATATTGTAAAAATGATTGCACATCACAAGGTGAAAGTTTTCATAATACATAATTTAATATCCTTGCAGCATAAGTAATTGTCAATACAAATTTGATCTCAAAGTACAAACAGTTGATTTTTAGTACAAATGTCAACATTTTACAACAGAGGGAAGCAATAAAGTTTGTAAATGATCTTTAAGAGCATAATTTGATGTTGTGTTCACATGTCGATGGTGCATCATGTTCTGGGGTCTCTGATCTCATCGAAAAGCATGCCAGGGTCTCTCTTGGCTATTTTCCTTTCACAATTTCAGGATAAATTTTCACATGTGTTTTTGGGTATGCAGTCGTTGAGAAATTGCTAAATTGCAAGCATGCCTTCATTACGTGCACTAAAGCAGATCCTCTCAGAAAATGCCAATACAGACACTTTATTCTGTAAGAAAGCACATCAAATTAAATATCATGAGAGGGTAATTTGTCTTTAAAGGTTTCATGATGTAAGTGCATATGAAGAAGCTGAAGGACTTTATTTTGATGCATGTGTATGTGCATTTGCTTTCATTTTTCCTTTGCTGTGTGTTCCCTTTGTACAGACTCTACGTTTATATCAAATCAATGTTAATTGGAATTTGCATATGTGTTTTTCATAAGTGCTGTGAAATATCAAGAGCCATATTAAGCTATAGAACTGAATGTTCTTGATGCAAAATGTTTCTCTTCTGAGCGCCTGGCAGGATATAAATGTTCCTTGTTTCCTCACCAGAAGGAGTTTATTTTTGCAGGGATCTAATGACTCTAATTGCAGCGCTGCAACATTTCTAGAGTCAGAGAAGACAGTAGCATTGATTTCTTGCTGATAGTACACTTTCCTGGATGCAAACCACCACTAAAATCAGATGTGCCTGTGAGAACAGAGGAAGGAGAAGCTGCCAAATTCAATCAGTTCCAATCCGCTTGGATTTTAAGGAGCCCACTGTTTTCGCTCCCTAGGAGAGAATAAACATCTTCACAGAAACAAGATTCGATTTCATTGTGCACTGTCTAGGGAACACTAGAGACGAGGAACTAGTGAGCATTAAACTGTCTATGAACTCAGTTAATGATCTGTGTGTGTAAGCAGTACAAATAATAAAATAAAGTGGTTACATTTTAATTGAAGCCTTTGTGTTTAATGCATTACAAAATATTTTAATGCATTAATTATGCCTTAAAATGCACTTTATAATGCATTATGATCTCATGAATAACAAGGAATCTGAATATATTGTAATGCATTTTAACTTTGGTTATATGAAAATATATAACCCATTACAATGCACATTATGAATACCTTTATAATGCATTATGAGGCTTCACATTACCAATTGCCTTCTTAAATCTAAAAAAATATGAAAATTATTCTCATCAAATTTACAAATAACATTTTAATGCATGGTTCTTAAAAGCTCAACATTTTGATTGACTGTAATATTTGCAACGTAAACCACGGCAACAAAAGCTTTTAGATTTTAATTTAATGCAACATAATCCTTTATAGAATACTATAAAAATATAATGGATTGTAACTATAATGTGATATTAGTGTGATATTAGATACAATTCAGTGTTTAAGAAGTGTATATATATATATATATATATATATATATATATATATATATATATATATATAATAAAAAAAATTTTTTTATATCATTATCTTCTTAAATGTACACTATGACAATTTTCTCAAAGCTTACAAATAAAATTTGAATGCATGGTTTTTTAAAGCTCAACATTTTGATTGACTAATATTTGCAACATAAAACACCGCAACAAAAGCTTTTATATTTTAATTTAGTGTAACTTAATCCTTTATATCATATTATCAAAAATCATGGATTGATGTAGCACATTTTCTAATAATATGGTGATATTCGTTAATATTGTTATCTTAAACCACAGCGACAAAAGCTTTTAAGTCGTTTTTTGATTGTACCATAATCCATTATTATAACATCAAAAATCATAGATGCATGCAACAAATGTTATTTCAATGACTCAGACATCGATTTGGGTTGCAGACCCAGATTTCCTGTGTTACTATCAGAGCTCAGCACTGCCAAAATCCCATCATGTCTTTCCGTACGGGAGAATCCTCTGGAATCCCGTGATTCACACATGGTCTCACATCAGCGTCCGCACTAATCAGAGCCAGCTTTGTGGTGTGTGTGTGTGTGTGTTGCGTGAGGCTGTCGTGTTTGCCTGCCATTATTCTCTTTAACCTGGCTGTGAAAGGCTGGCCGTGACCCCGGAGGGTCGGGAAGGTTGAGGACTTGGCAGCCGCCAGCGTGTGGCTGCAGGTCTCACGGCGGATGAGCCGATCCCGGTCTGGAGCTAATCACTGTTTACTAGAATCATTTCCACTTTTCAGTGAGCTACTGTCACGCATGGCCCTGGGAGGGAGGAGGAGGGAAGCCAGGGGTCTGACGGGCCGTTTAGGAGCCGGTGGGATTCATGGAAAAAGGACGAGCTGAAACTAACCGTAGGAATGCGAATTCAGATTAGACAGCAGCGGTGATCCAGAAACCCGAATGACCGACTGACACTCAGAGAGAGGAAATGAACACGCTCTCTCTCGCTGCAGGACACCAGTGAATGCTTTATGACTCACCAGTGCCATCTTGACCATGTTAGAGCTCGATGGAGTCTATTAACGGCGGTGACGTGATGCTGATTCACTTGAGCTCAGCTTTTTTTTTTTCACAAGACAATTTGAATTATTTAAACTGTTATTTTCACTTTTTTTGTGAATGTGAAACCAGTGTTTTGGGTGGTTGCCAGGGTGTTGCTATGCAGTCGCTAAGGTGTTCTGAGTGGATTTTAGCTTGTTGATATGGGGTTGCTAGGGAGTTACTGCAGTAGTTTGTTGCCAGGGCATTGCTATGCAGTTGCTAGGGAGTTACTACAGTAGGTCATTGCCAGAGTGATGCTATGAAGTTGCTAGGGAATTACTACATTTGAATGTTGCCAGGGTGTTGTTATGGAGTTGCTAAGGTGTTCTGAGTGGTTTTAAACATGTTGCTAGGGATTTACTACAGTAGGTTGTTGGTAGGGGTTTGCCATGCAGTTTCTAGAGCAGTTTGTTGCCAGGACGCTGATAAGAAGTTGCTAGGGAGTTACTACAGTAGGTTGTTGCCAGGGTGTTGCTAGGGATTTACTAGAGCAGTTTGTTGCCAGGGCACTGATAAGAAGTTGCTAGGGAGTTACTGCAGCAGGTTGTTGCCAGGGTGTTGCTATGAAGTTGTTAGGGAGTAACTACATCAGGTTGTTGCCAGGGCACTGATATGCAGTTGCTAGGGAGTTACTGCAGCAGGTTGTTGCCAGGGTGTTGCTATGAAGTTGTTAGGGAGTAACTACATCAGGTTGTTGCCAGGGCACTGATATGCAGTTGCTAGGGAGTTACTACAGTAGCTCATTGCCAAGGCGTTACTATGCAGTTTCTAAGATTTTCTGAGTTGTTTTTTAGCATGTTGCTTTGAGGTTGCTAAGGAGTTACAACAGTAAGTCATTGTTAAGGAAATCTGGATGGTTGCTAGGCAACTACAGTACTTCTCTGTTTTGCGCATCACCGTTAAGGTGATGAATGTCTGCTCCATTTGTTTGATTGTTTAAAATAAAACTGAGGAATCATAGTGTGGAGATTATAAAGGCATAGATTTTTGTATATTTGTAAATTTTGTTTAAGCATGCCACTAGGGGAAGTGAGTTTATTCACTCTTAATATGCATAAAATGCAGAAATCTGTTGTTGTGCACTGTGTGAGTTATATTTTTATGATGTGCATGAACATTTTGTTTTTATTAAATAAATCACATCACAAACATATCCATGATTCCCAAACACAGTCTGTCTTTAACTGAATCCAGTGAGGTTATTGAATTATTGCGGTCCGTTCTAAAACGAGAGAGAGTCGCCTGAGGTGCACAGACGTCTCACAGCGGGATGCTTGTGCTTTCGCCAGGTACATTAAACCACAAATCTCCTCTTACTCTGACCCCTGCTCGACTTTGGGTCCAAGATCCCATCGGCCAATCAGAAGTGAGCACCGTGCGTTTCCTCCAATCAGAACTGATTGTTTCAGCATTAGTGATCTGATGTGGCCTCACATTTAAGAGAGATCAGTTTCTATAATTTGATATGTCAATGATGAGCGCTCGAGAACAATTCCCGTCTGTTAATAACGTG